AGAAAAATTTTTTAGGTGCCCTTTTCAATACCCTAAAGTGCCCCTAGAAGCCGGTGCCCCCCAATCCTTTGATGCTTCCTACGCCCCTGTACGCAATGACGACATACAGTTTTTCCTCCATGTATTTCCTAATTAGCCGGAATGTTCGCTAAAATCGGGTGAAGAACATCTTATTCAACAGATGAATAGCAGTTTCAGAGGCGTAGCCAGGGCTGGGGCCGGGGGGCCCGGCCCCCTCTGGCAAAATTTTGGCCCCCCCTTGGCAAAATTTTGGGGGTACCTTGATAAAATGTATTGTATAAAAAGGGAATCCTTGATTATATAGCTTCATGCTGTCAATAATGCAAAAATTCTGTAGAATATATGCTTTGCTGGGCATCGGTGTGAAACCTAAAATCACTTGTTCGCTTATTTGCGGCACACAGCTTGAAACACATACCTTTTCTAACCCTAATTACTTCAATATGTATTAAATGAGGGCTAGATGAAGTTTAAACCAATCTGGGTTTTTTTACAAGTGAATTTTTAATGCGGGCTCGGCAGTGGCACCGTCGCCGAAGGGGGGGGGGGGAGAGACCCGTCGGAAAATTGAGACCTGTCGGAAAATTGTCAATAGAGAGTTTGAGAAAGACAACGAAGTACGAAAACGAAGGCGTATACTTGCCAATTTTTGCCGTCTGCACATTATCTTGCGCATACTGAGTTGGACGTCACTGGTGGTTGCTCAACGTGTCTTCAAAGTCCCATGTGTCGCTGTTTATGAATACTGACCGAATTCTTGCCCTGACCCAGAAAAAAAACAGCAAGACATGAAACTATATCCCGTCTTTGCCCTTCTGCCTTCATTCGGAACGAAGTTCACAACGAATTTTGCCAAAATATTTCCGAATTTTTTGTTGTGAACGAAGGCAGAAGAACGAAGACGAGATATGGATTCATGTCTCGCTGTTTTGTCCTGATCAGGGTAAGGATTTGGGTCAGCATTCATAAACAGCTAGACATAAATCTCTAACCAGTTTCACGCCTGACCCTAAACTCAGAATGCGTAAGATAATGTGCAAGACAGGCAAAAATTGTCAACCACGGTCCACGTGGTCGTCGTTGTCCGACTTCGTTTTCTTGCTCAAACTCTCTAATGTTGTCGGAATCTTCGTGGTGCAGCATCGGAAAAAGTGATACGGAAATCGGGAAAAGTGCTATGAAAGCAATTGTAATGTTATTGTCCAGAAAAATTTTTTACCGAAAAAGTTGTCGACGGTG